ATTAAATTTTTTTACATGAATAGAGTATTATTAAAGGATGTTTGATGTTGAATTTAGTGAGGATCGGTGAAAGAAATCATTTTAATTTTTATTTCGCTCACAAAGCTTCCTCTATGAGGAAGCAAAAATTGAAAAATCCGCATGCTTAAAGCAGCTTAAGCATTGTAAGATAAAATGATGAAGAAGCAATGTGCAAGTTTCTAATTTGCACAACTCTACTTGTTTTCTTTTTTTTTTTTTTTCTCTTACAGCTATCGTTCTCGGTCTCCGACCCAAGATATGTGACCTCGGAGTTTCTCATGCAAGACACCCTATATATTTGCTACGTCGACGGAGGTTCGTCGAATCGGTGTTCGAGGTGACGCGCGAGAAGGATTTCCTGCCAATAAAATGGAGTAGCCTCGACAGGATTAAAATTTGTCGGCGCTAAAGCTAAACGGATCGCTACTCGAGGGTCTTCGCGAGGTCTCACAAATGAACGACCCGACTCTGCTGGACGTGGGAGCCTCTTTGGAATTGCAGATTGAAGTTTTACGAAACGGATGTCCGTAATATCGCACCAAGGACGAAGCTCCCACGTCTACGAAGATTATTAAACGGAAAAGAAAGATGCTCTCGAAGATGTTTAGGAAACTCGGTCATCAAATATGCATAAAATGACTCTTTATAATCTGACAAAACAATGATTAATAATTAAGTAAAGTGAATTTGTTAGTTATAAATAATATAAAATTTTGCACGAGATGGGGGGGGGGTCGAAACCTCCGAAATCTTTATAAAGAGAAGATTAAAAGTCCTCCTAAAGAGAAATTGAAATAAATAATTTCAGCAGAGAAGAGCTCTCTCGTTAATCAACAATACAACGGATGCAATTGATGCTCGCGTAGAGACAGCATTTTGCTTTATTTCCGCCGCTGCAAAATATGCGCGTCGGTATTTATCGCGATGAAAATGGTTTCGGTGAAATCGTCGACGATTTAATTGCGCGCCCGTTCGTGTCTCCCGCGCGCGTTCGTGGACAAACGATCGTTTTTGGCGGCGAAGTCCATTTCGAAACGACATCGTGCTATTTTGGCACGTGGCCAGCGCGTCCCGGCTTCTTGCTCGAAACGCGCGCAAGCGACGAGATCGCCCGGGATAACGCATTTCTCGAGCCCGGTCTCTAAAGAAAGCGCGAACGCTGGTCTCCAGCAGCGTAACATATCGTGAAACAAAGCCAAGAAAAGTACCAGACAATCGCGTTCCAAATCACACAAAAAGAGATAAAAACATATATAATATAAAGAATTTCTACAAATTTATCGTTACATACGTCTGACAGCAAAATAGAATTTTTTAATATCATCTCTTCTATCCCAACAGATTGTATATATGATTCATAATATATTTTTGTATATTATATCATATTTAATAAAAGATAACAAGCTAAACAAATAGAGCGGGAGAAAGCGCTTAAAGTGGGCAACTCTGTCTATTTGACGTAAAATTTCCATACGGGATCCAAGTTAAATCACCGTATATTATACGTGATATGATGGTAAAAATGATATATTTGTGGTATACGAAATATATGACCGCAAGGAGCAACCGCACATTTATCTTGATAGAACCGGTATCGGACTTCTCTCTATATGTCACGGTTAAGCGCGTTACATTTTTCTCGCGTCATTGTTACCCGAATTGGCGGAAAAATGTTCGTGCGGTGTCGCAAAAACGCGGGGAAAATGCGGTCGGATGCGATATTCTGTGCGCGATATATTATCGCGAACCACTGCATTTCCGCGATATTATGCTTGCGTTAAATAAATGCGATGGAGGATGGCATTTAGGTTGTTAAAAATTGTTTTCTTTTTTTTTCGACATTATAATTCGCACACAAACGGTAACGCGCGCAATTGTTGTAAATTAATGCAAAAGAAAAACGCGCAGAGGGTTTAGTCGAGTCTCGAAACTAAATTTCCGATGCCTTCGTTAAAAAGAGGCAAAAAAAAAAAAAAAAAAAAAAAATGGGAACAAAAAAAATACCGGTATCGGACTTCTCTCTATATGTCACGGTTAAGCGCGTTACATTTTTCTCGCGTCATTGTTACCCGAATTGGCGGAAAAATGTTCGTGCGGTGTCGCAAAAACGCGGGGAAAATGCGGTCGGATGCGATATTCTGTGCGCGATATATTATCGCGAACCACTGCATTTCCGCGATATTATGCTTGCGTTAAATAAATGCGATGGAGGATGGCATTTAAGTTGTTAAAAATTGTTTTCTTTTTTTTTCGACATTATAATTCGCACACAAACGGTAACGCGCGCAATTGTTGTAAATTAATGCAAAAGAAAAACGCGCAAAGGGTTTAGTCGAGTCTCGGAACTAAATTTCCGATGCTTTCGTTAAAAAGAGGCAAGAAAAAAGAAAAAATGGGAACGAAAGGAATCTTACCGACGCTTGCTTGCTCCTGTGCGAGCGTGCTATCGCAACTTCGTATCGCGAGGAAAAGCTCGAGCCGCTGGAGATAATCGCAATTTTCTCGATCGGCTGGCACGTGAATGCCAGCGTAATAGCGGCAGGTAACTAGGCCGCGTAAATAGGCGGTTGTAAAAAAAAAAGAGAAAGAAAAAAAAAAGAATATATGCGAGCGCACGCCCCCGCTGCGGCTGCTCCCGAACGCGGTCGCCAATAAATGCACGGCGAAATCCCCGCGTTAAAACGATGATTAAAGCATAGTGTATGTGGGCGCGCGCTCGCGCTCGTTGGGATTTTCGCGGTTATTGCGATTATTAAACGCGAGCGGGATCGGGGTCACAATGCGTGCGCGAGCGAGTTTTCGTCGGGACGACTTACGCGTATTTCCCTTAATATCGCAAACGGAAATGGCATTACACGGCCGTTTTGCATTTAAGAGAAAATTAGAACTTCTGTTCTCCAAATGGCGAAGCCGTCCTTCCCTCGCAAATTGTGTAAGAATTGCGGCGCGTGTAATTTTCGTTCCCCTCGTTTCGTTGGCGCTCGCGAGTCAGCTTTTACTTTTTAATAATATAGCTATGAGCGTGGAATATAAAGGCGATGCGAGGAATAGGAGCAGAGTATGAGAGGGCATATAAAGCGATTAATAACACATAAAACATATTTAGAACCTGTTCAAGAGCGTTAAGCAAGATTTATGTCTGATGGTCATAATCAAACTATAATTAATGCATTGGAGAAATTTACTCGGGAAATAATACCTGCAACGTAAATATAAAAAAAAAAAAAAAAAATACACACAAATTTTGTTCTAAAAATTCAAAAGAGATCTTGGGCTCATCTCTTTAAATTATTGTTTTATAATTAAATATGATCGACTCAGTGACACGTGAATATCCGAAAAGAATTCAAATCCTGTCGATAAATCATGTCGACGTCATCATCGTCACGCCGACGTGTCGCTGGAATGCAACAGCTCCGAGAGCTCGCGCAGCGAGAAACCGGCGTCTCGCGGAAAAGTGTATCGATCGCGGAAAATTGTCCGATACTAGGTCAGCCTGCGAGTATTTGCGAGGTGCCTCCCCCCCCCCCCCCGACTGACGGCAACGCATTACGAGCGGCGAGAGCGTAATGCACAATACGATCTTTCTCGCGGAGATGATGCGGGCGGGCGCCGGGATCCCCGGCTCCGATGTCTGCGACTCTGTTTGAACGGGGATCGAGATTAAGGTTTCGCGAGAGATACCGGAGAGATGCACGTGCTGAAGGGGAAGAATCATGACGTTAAAACAGCGTTTTTCGACTTAAACGCGACTGTTTGTTCGATCTTTTCACCGATGTGTATCATTTGCTTAATGCGCGATGCATATTACATGCGAAAGGAGGATAGCAGGAGTCGAATAGCTATATAAAATATCGATATTAAATAACTTGCGACTTTGGACCTTGGCATCCTCGCGGGTATTAATAAATTATACAGCGTGATAAGCCTGTAACATGGATCTGCGCGATTAACGTAATATCAAAGTCCAGCTGTGAACGAGCTTCGACTCTTAAGCGAGAGTACATGGGATACAAAAGCAGCCGAAGGTCTGATTGTGAGAAAACGCACGGGTTAGGTATAAGCTGATATTACAGCTTCATGTATCATTATATAGCAGAAACATGTAACGTATCCTTTACGAGTTCTAAACAAGATGTACGCGACATGATTTTCCACTTTTCTTATCCATTCATTTAAACATAACATTCCTTGTGCAGAGTGAAAATACAGATAACGTAAATGCAATATTGTTAACATAATTATATATTGCCCCGTATAATTATAGAGTTATTAATATTGTTCGGAGTTAAAATCGTCATGCAATAATACGGGCTTGACAAAAAAGATGTAGCAACATGAAAAAGTCTGACGCAATATAAATTACCTTTATTACATTTCTGTTAATCCGATCACTATATAATTCATGTTATGTTTAAACAATACATTTGTGTTCTTTTTACCTTAATTTATGTGATATATATATATATATATATACATATTTACACGTAGCTTTACAGATTTCAATAATTGTTCATGTAACTATGTTAATAAGAGTAATATTTTTCAATAAGAGATAAATTTATAAATATTGCAATTCATGTTTCTCTCGTCATGTGTATATGTTAATCTTTGAACTACAAGACAACGGATTTCATAATTTTCACCCAGCTTTTTGGCTCTTTCGCAAAAGCTGTACTTTGTTATGTAGACCCGCTGTAATTATGGCATGCGCGTATGTTGGACGCGAAAGCTTGCGATGTAGATGAGACGCATAAATTTCGTCACGGCGCGGAGCTCGCTAATCCACCTTACCAGGCAACATTGCCGTAACCAACGAGGCGGATGACTTAATCCGAGTTGCGAATTATTAAACAGGAAATAATTTCTTATTACGATGTGAAACAAAAAGACCGGCTAAAGGGCTCGTTCGCGGCGCAGAGGGAGTAAAAAATTTAAATACGCGGAAAATGAACATTTCAACCTTGACATTAGAAAGAAATTTAATTTTCTATTCTTAAACTTTTCAAGCAATAAGGAGAAAAAATAATTTATCATTTTCATAACCATAACTGGGGCTCATTTATACGATATATATAATATTTTTTCTTTTTTTTTCCATTATGCATTTAGAACGAGAATTTGTACACAACTTGGGCGAAGGGGAGGATTACTTACATTCCTGTTTAAATGTGAAGTATTCCGTAAGATGACGGCACTCGTGGTTACCTCTGAGGAGGAAGAGTGTGGTGGGATGGCACAGTTTCAGCGCCCACAGGTACAATACGCACTGAAACAAAAATATGGATGTGTATGCGTTAATCAAATAACTCACCATGTATTCATAACGTTTCGTAACCTTCAGATATATATAAACTGATCTATAATTAATGTAATATGCCTCAAAAACTAACTTTTAAGTAGCATTAAGTGTACTTTGATTCCCCAATGTTAGAGTTTGCTTTTATAATCACCAGAAAATTGAGTTGTTAATAAAACTTATTAATACGCATTATACATATTATTAGGGACAACTTTCAACAAGCAATTAGTAAGTTTATCGTACGCACACAATGTCGGCTTAAACGTTAAATACTTTACAAAGTGGGAAGACGAGAAAGAGAATAAATCGTGTCAAAGACAAAAACATTCAAACTGGCTTGTGATTGTGTCGCATCTCGACAATATCGAGATCCTGTAATTAAATCGAAACAAAATCGACTCGTCTCTATCGGAGCTTCGGCTCCGATCGTACGAAGATCCTTCCTCGGTTCGATGTTGCATCGACACGAATTCAAGCGACGCGCGCCCAGCAGATTGCATCGCATTCGGACTTCTCTCGCGAGATCGTCTTTGTAATTTAACGCGCTATTAATCAGCGCATCAGCCGGAGAGACTGGACTGGAAATGCATGCAGCTTCGCTCAGTAACATCGGTACCATTTAATAATAATTTACAATGAAGCACGCGCGCGCGCGCGCGCGCGTTAAAGATGAACATTTTGGCAACGGGGATCTTACCGTCGTCGGTTTTATCGTCTCGCAGAAAACAAATCGAGTGGCGAAAGCCACGAGTTGCATTTGGCTTGTATTCTGCGTACGAGATGAAAACATATTGCGTAGTTGTGAACGAGGTTTATATGCGTAACCTGGGGCGAAATTATTTGGCGAACGCGACGATAATAACTGTACTCGTCGCAAAATTTGAGAGAAAAATAACAGAATAAACAAATAATAACAAAACTTTAAAAATTGTAGAAAAATATACATCTTCGCGTTATTTGCACGTCGATCCTGAACGAGATATAAATGTTCGGGAGGATTTAAACGCTTTCGCTGTAACGATCATCGGGAATCGCCTGTTATCAGCGCGGTTAGAGGCGTGTTTCGCGCGAATGCATCGCTAATTAATATTATTCGTTGTAACACACGAATCACCGACCCGCATTAAATTGGCAAGAGCCGTTGCTAATGAACGGACCGGGGAATTTCGGGCGAATTTCGCGCGCTAATTAGTTCGCTCGCGAATGTGGCGGCTGTAATGACAACTCCATTAGATGTACGGTTTCGAGGGGAGAAGGGAGCTGGGCAGGCCGCGATCTCATCGGACCTTTTAGGTGGCCAACATTTGTCCCGCACTCGTTGGCCGGGTCTATTTAATAATCACGGATGACGCGGCAGTTTTAAATAGACTTAATTACGGACAATGCGAATTAACGCTTGTGGAGATGTCGCGCATTCGTTTCTTTTTCACAACAATTTTTTTCATCATGGAAAACGGTTCGATCCCGACACAAACGATTTATTCCTAAAAATTTCCATCAAAGTCCATTTCCTCTTATTTGTGTCAAATTTGTTTACTAATTTTCATTCTATTTCTCTTTATCGAAATTTTGATTACTACTTTTGCGATTGATTTGCCACTTTTTTCACAGTATTTCAAACTTCATGTCAGATAGCTCTCAATAATTACATGTTGAATTTAAGAACTGCTAAAGTAAAGCTCTCAAATTGTCTGTGGAATAAACTTATTATTCGTTAACAGTTTCAAAGTTTAGTTTTCAAAAAGCACTGAATTCGTAATTTCAGACCACTTATAGCGGAAAACTTGCTGGCGTTTTGACATTTTATTGTTAGTATAGGAAAAATAAAGAAATTAAAAAATGCGCGTAACAATATACTTAAAGGCAAAATAATATAATTTTATATATTCTTTTTAAAATACAAATTCTTTCTAGATTTTTGGGGGGGAAAGTTAATTCTTGCTCCTCCCTTCAAAAAAAAAAAAAAAGAAACAGTTGAGAAAACAGCTTTTTCATTTTTTTTCTTGATTACCCCAGCCGTATAGGTATAATTTTCAAAAAAAGTTGCAAAATATTTCAATATTTTAGTCTTACGTAAGATGGGGCAGATGTGATTGCGATTAAAACCGCTGGACCAGAACGTTTAACCTTTGTGCATCAAATCAATACCGTGGAACTAGCGATATCGCACCGCGGCTCGGAGATAGAGGTAAAGAAATGTCACACGTTCAGATATATAGGATATTTTTCTTCCCCCTATGTTCTCTGTCTTTCTCGCTTCGGAAGATCAGTGGTGATGCTATCACGTCACGATTGGATATTGATATACGGTGGTTTTTTCGATTTTTACATGACGCCGTATTGCGGGATAAATCCTTGTACCTATCTGGCCGTAGGAGCCACGGCGGCAATTTTTTTCTTAGACTTTCGAGGTCAATTATTTTCTCCCCATTGACCCGATCGACTGTCTACCGTCGGTCCCTCTCGCAGAGCCCTTCCACCACCGTCCCTTTGCGAAGTCAACGGAGCGGTTGCTCGCTCGCTCTCTCTTTCTCTCGCCTTGCTCCATCGCTATAATTACACGCGAGGGCCTTCATTGGCATTGTAACGAAATAATGCACTCGGCCGTCGTTGTGTCGTCCTTCAGATTCCGTCGTGGCTCGCTCGTGAGTGTTTGCGTTGTACGAGAGCACCGATCGGACATCGTTTCCTCTTTCCATGGTGATTGCGTGATTGGTGCACGTGATCCATCAATTGCATTTGTGTATGTACACAAAACTTAATTATTTTTTAAATTAAAATACAGCGCTCATATTCTTGTAAATTGATATTATCATTATCAAAGTAGATTTTTTCCGTATTTGTACACTGTATATACTCCAGGGCTATTTCCACTATTAAAAATACTCTTGGAACTCTTTAATTGAAATATCAGTCAAGAGAGATGTCGGTTAAAACTTTTTTTCGATTCATAAACGTTTATATTATTTAGAAACAGTAGCATCCGTCATTATTTCTTTGTAAACATTTTTCATAATTTCTTAGCTATATTTCCAAGAATTTTAATAATAATTTTAATATTTTCTATTTGCCCTCTCTCTCTCTCTCTTTCAGTATATTACTCGACATTCTTAACACAACAAAGAGATATACTATTAAATAAAAAATTACTACGTGCATATTATTTACATACGATTGAAATGAGAATTTTGTATAAAATATAATGGAAAAATGTAATAAAAAGTAAAAAAAAAGGACATATTCATGAATTTAATAGACAAACCTCTAATAGTCTTAAATTTTATTTACTTGCATATTGTGGACTGTGAAAATAGGCTTCTTACAAGTGCGAGAAATTACTTGAGGGAATTTGAAGGAAATTTCCTCTCTGTCGACGAGGATGTGATTTTCGAGAGCACGCGAAATAAGGTTCTCAAACGAACAATCATGGCGGACGGAACCTGTTCTCGTCAGCGCTTGCCTCTTCTCTTTAAGCCCTCGGATCCTCCCTTTATATCCCCTTTCCCCGGACAGACTTTCCTCGGATGATCAGGAGCGAAAGTTTCGCATCGAACGTGTCGCCGTCAGAGAAAAGGCTTCGGATCTGCGGAGGAGCCATCCAAGCATATCGCGTATAAAGAAAGTATCGATCTCACGGAGATTCGATGTGCTCGCTACCATGCATATACGTATACATATATATGTAGGTAAGATTTACACGCACATAGGTATATCACTGCGGTATTTGCATCGCGCGGCTACGCCTCTTCGAGGATCTACCCTCTTAAAACGCGGGACGAACTTCTTTCTTCGCATGAGCCACCGAACGGAGCATCCTTGAAGGATTGAGGAGCATCTCCTCGCGACAGAAACCCCTTTCATACGAGGTTGCACGCGCGGCACCGACCGATTTATAATGCCATTTACAATCGGGGAGCCCGGAAGAGGGGTGGTCCATTTTCTTCGCAAGAGAGATCCGAGCATTGTTCCGTAAAATAAGAAAAGCGCGCATTCCGCTTCGCTCCGTCTCGTGTCTCCCGTGAATAGATCGGCTGCGCGCACCGAGAATCGTAAATACGATTGAATCCGCATCTGTTCGCGCACTCTAGCAAAATTATCTTCCTGGCGAGGAGGGGGATACGAACTGTTCGCTCGTCTTGAGAAATTTCCCCGAATCGAGAAAATGGAGATTATACAGTTCAAGGAGCAGACAATTTGTCAAAAATGAAAAATTTCGGTTCAACGATATCGGGGATGAACTTAATGAAGAAGATACGATGAATGTAATATATATATAGAGAGAGAATAAATAACGTACTTAATATTTATAAAAATAACTCAAATGTAAAGAAACGTTTATTCCATGTGAGATCATTTCTGGTCGATTTTAAAGGGAATGTTAAAAGATGATATCCAGTTCGGTCCATCATTCATCCGTTTCTTGATTAGAAACAGCTATTCACATATGGTTTTAAACTGTCGGCATTCGCGTGCGTTATAAATCTGACGGTACTCATACGTGTTTCGTAACAAACGGCATGCTGCATCGTGCATTATTCAGAATTCACGAAGACGCATCTCGATCTGAATAACGGCAACCGTGGAATACATCAAGAGATTTTCTTAAAAGGAGCCATCCCTCTCTCTCCTGCCGCGCGTGCGCGAGCTCTCTTGTAACATGTATCTCGCGGAAAATATATTTAAACCTTGATACGCGCAGCTCGCCACGTGTAATACCACGTACAATATTGGATTGTCCGCCATTCCTTTCCGAGTAAATTTTCGCACTCGACAGAGATTGCTGCGTAAAATCCAATGGCTTTCGTTACACAAGTTGGAAATAATATTTTACCGATGGTCGTTTTCAAAAATGTGAAACAAGAACGAAAATTTCAAATAACTAAAAATTATTTTCGTGTATCGTTCTTCTCATTTCAAATTAATTGGAACAAATTGAAAAATCCACGGAAAATTTGTATCTTTGAGGAAAATCAGATAAATTCTAGAAAAGATAAAAATATTCACGAACTTTACCGTCAGCATCGAAATTGCACCATCGACTTCTCTCGAGAAATATAGCTCTGAGATTGCATCCTTCGCGAGATATATCTGGTACGCGTTGTCACTACGAAATTTCATTTTGTATATCGCGCGGTTTACGACGATCTTGTAGTAAAAAAAACTTTGTAGTTTCTCCCCTGTCTTCCGGTTACGGAATTTGTTGCAAAAGGAAATTGTTCGTTACTTTACGGTGTAAAAATTTCACGAGATTGCGAAAGGAGCATCACTCGAGAGATGCCGTTCGCTACTTGGATGCAGGTCCCCTCGTGCATTCTCTTGTTCCAGTGGCGCAACGGAGGGAATATTGCGTTATACCCGACATGAAACGTACACCCGTTCGTGACGAAATTTTATCTCGCTAAATAGACCGTTCGCGTCGGATCGAAGTTGATTATTCGTGCATGTTCCGAAATTGCATTCAGGAAAGAGTACAATACTCCACGTAGCGAATGCACTCTGCACGTGTGTGCAGAGTTTCTTTCTTTCTTGACTATCGCGTTCCGTATACGAAATAGATATTCTTTGCTCGAGAAAATCTAAAGATATATTTACCCGTCGCAATGGATATCGGATTGCTACATTTAGCAAAACAAAAAACGCTCAACAAAGAAACAAGTTTTATAAACAAGATTCGAAATAGAGCAAACGAAAGGAAGGAGCAAAATAGTAATCTGAACGATATTGCTTGTTGATTCTTTTTTAAAATGCTTCTCTAAAATTATGTTACTTCGATCACACATATACAGTGTCGATAAAATGTATTTATAATTAATTGCTCGCTTCTAAAAGTCAGAGATTTTCCAAGAAGCTTGTAGACTATTAAATTGCAATTTTAATCATCTACCCTTAAATATTACGACATTCGCGACAGTTATTATCGCGATATCAAAGCAAGCTTCTAACAAAATAAACGCTTTCTGCACCTTCGCTGCTCGGGTTGAATAAACAGGCGCGACTATCAACAATATTTAATAAGTAATTAATCGAGACGCGCGCTAATTGCAGAGTCAGATAATTAAGTAGTATAATTACCGATAATTAAACGTATAATACCCGAAGTAAAGCTTTATTCTTCCTTCTCAAAAAATGGAATAAAAGTAAATTTTTATTGACATTTGCATTGTATATCTAGCCGATATATTGTAAACGCGATTAACTCTTAATTATTATTGTGTGATGTAACATTTTCGCGCGGCAATTTAATAATTAAGAACGTCGCAAGTAATTTTTGATGACATGCCTTTTCTCTCTCGTACTCACCTCGATACTGAAATAACCCCTGTCAACGTAATCGCCCAGGAAGAGATATTTGGTCGAGGAAGGTGGACCGCCCACCTCGAATAATTTCATCAGGTCGTAGAACTGTCCGTGAATATCACCGCATACTGAAATCAAAGATAGATCGAAATTAGACGGATGGAAGAGAGAGAGAGAGAGAGAGAAAGAACAATTTAAAGGAGAAACTAGAAAAGGACTAATTTGCAAAAAGTTCTTTTTTGCGTCGCAAATCATGTAACACGCCAATATTCCTCCGAAACATCTAATTACGCGAGACAAAAGCACCATTCAAAAAAAGCGAAATTACCCGGCGCACGATTAATATAGCGCGATTAAAGCGCATTTTGCGTCGAATATATAGACATTAGCGACCCTTGAGAGTCGGTAAACTTGTTTGCGAACGTTTCAAAGTGAAATTACGCTCCCGTGTCTCGTAGAGGATACGGGACGAAGCGGGTAACGTTGGGAAACTTCAAGCTCTCGAAACCGAGAACTATTAGCGACCAGACCCCAGAAGTGACGTCGCAGTTACTTTGGCGCTTCGCTATTCGTTTCCAATATTGTCTCGCATTGTGTTTGTGTCTGCCTTTACAAAATTATATATTTACAATTGATGCTATAATAATAATTGATCATCGTTGCATGCTTATAAAATCAGACATCAAAATAAAAATACTAAAGTCTGTCCTCCTTTTGATTTCTTTCCTTCATTTCTTTTATTTCAACGTCATTAACACGTCGCTATTAATAAAAATAGCAAAGTGGAGTATTTTTTTATATTTTCAAAACTTGAAACCCTAGCAATAATACGAGGACGCCAAGACAAGAGACGAAAGAACTTTGAAGACACGTAAAAAATGTATCGCGAAGTAACAAAAAGAAAGTATGACACACGCTTGAGAGAAAACGGTAAACTATTATATACGACGATAAATGAAGGTCCATAAACACATTGCAACACGAAAACTTAGTTTTCCTCCATCCAGCGGAAACTATCGGAGGTATAGACACGCGCGTGTGTGTGTGTGCGCGCGCGCGCGCGCTTGTGTGTGTGTGTGTATGCGTACATAACATCATATGGCTTATGACTATCAACTATTTTTATTATTCACCGCGTGCAATACGTTACGGCGGTGTTTTCGCAACATTTTCCAATATCGTTCGTTACAGAGATGCAAACCAATAAAATCGCTTTCGAACTATGCGCCGCACTGTGCAGTCTCGTCCGTTGTGTAATAATCAAGTGAAAAAGCGATTTACAAAATCCAGCTTTACACTAGGCTCGCGCACACGAACGAAAACTTAGTTTTCCTCCATCCAGCGGAAACTATCGGAGGTATAGACACGCGCGTGTGTGTGTGTGTGCGCGCGCGCGCTTGTGTGTGTGTGTGTGTGTGTATGCGTACATAACATCATATGGCTTATGACTATCAACTATTTTTATTATTCACCGCGTGCAATACGTTACGGCGGTGTTTTCGCAACATTTTCCAATATCGTTCGTTACAGAGATGCAAACCAATAAAATCGCTTTCGAACTATGCGCCGCACTGTGCAGTCTCGTCCGTTGTGTAATAATCAAGTGAAAAAGCGATTTACAAAATCCAGCTTTACACTAGGCTCGCGCACACGAAAATCGCGCGGAATCCACTAAAGTGAGGAAAATCGCGAGATCTCCTATCTGATATATTTTTAAAAAATTCCTGAGCTACGACGATCTCTCCATTATTCGATGTTTATTGAAAAATTTTGCATAGGTCTTTTCAAACGTGCATCAGACTATAACCCGGTGTGTCTCTCGCGTGATGAACTTTATTCTTCCATCGGTTTTACAAAATTTTTAACGCGGAGACAAAACGTTCGCTTCCGAGAGAAAGGGAGCTTCAGCGTTTACATAAAATATTATCGTGGAACAAAGGCGGACGAATAGCATCGACGGAGCTTTTTGTTCAACACGCGGTGATATATCTTGCGTTAATACGGGTCGGTGCTGCCAGGAACTGGGACATCGTCGCGCACGTAAAGCAGCGAGATATGAGGCAGCGAGCTGACGGCAACGTGGTAGATCTATAAAGATAATTGAATCGAGACTATATTAACGTATAACGAAACGGTGTAGAAGCGGCAGTAAAAGATGACTACTAAGGGAGATGGAGTCGGCGATATATCGGACGCGGTAACATCCCGTGAATATCCCATAAATGATCGACGTTTCAAGATGAATCTTGCGATTTTACGATGGTTAATTCTCATCGCTCAAATTCCGGCGAAAAGATTGTAAGGGGAATTAAAAACACGTCTCAAGAATCACGCGAATCTACGAGCGTTAATTAAGCATCTGCATTTGCGTTAATTAAGCATCCTATAATATCGTTGATACTCGTATCGTATATATTACGCAAATTAACGACTCCTACGGAAAATGAGATAATTTTCCGAGGCGCTTCATCTCGTGCTTTAAAGAGAGTAGCGAGAAAAGCGTGGGAAGAGAGCTACTCGAGACATCGCAAAAGACTGGGAAGAAACTGAACTTTATCCTGTAGTTTTCGCTCCTTTCTTCCCTCCTTCACCGCGATACTTGTACCTCTCCCTTCTTACTCTTCGTTTCCTTTTTATTCCTAATGTTTCCTACAAAGAGCAAACAGGACGTGAGCGCAAACGTCGTAGTGGTATAAATAAATGATGCTTCGCAAACAAGAAGAGAAAATATTTTGCTTGAAAGAAACATTATCGATTTACTTTACACGCGTACTTTTTGCACAAGCTACTAATTTTGTAAATACGATAAAAATATATCTTTGTAGAAAAACTTGTGTAATTTTTCTTCCTGAGTTTTTTTCGGATTACATTTTCCATCTTCGAATGCGCTCCCGATCGAACCTCGTATCTCATGATCCCTCTTAATTTCCCATTCCCATAAATCTAGCGTCGCATTTTTCGTCGTAAGTATAACGTGAGAGTCTTGGGATTATAGCAAGAAGTAATTTCAGCAACGAATAGAACTGGCGCATGCCGCAAACCAAGACTAAATATTTCAGACAATTCCCGCATGTATTGGCTTGGTTTGGCTTTTCCCCCTTCTCTCACTCTCTCTCCCCGAGTCGCGTTAATTATTCGCCATGTGGATACTGTAGGGTACGTCACGAGCGAAGCAAGAACGTAATTTCGGCTTGGCCAGCAGTGACCGAACAATGTTACGTTGCACTAGTCTATTGGCTCGGTGGCTTTCGCCGGTGTGTCACGCGCCACGTGAGCCGACTAAATTTTCACAGGAACCGGAGCTTATACAGCGTATACATATCCTATACAGCGCTACTCATGTGTATTCGTGCAATCGTGATCTAATTATTTAAATCACGCACGTCATTGGAACGGATCGATGCGAGTGTATATTCGTTGCGTTAAAACGTACGTACGTACATCGTCGCGTTTACGGAATTAAATCGACAGAAAATACGTGACTTTTCCATTACATGCGGTGACATTTTTCGCATCGCTGTGAGATAGCTTCGAAGCATATAGTATACAAGTTTCAGCTTTGCGCGAATCCTTGTAATGAAAGTTAACAACCAGCTTCAAACTCCCCGAGACGATTTACGTGGATGCGTGCCTACGAGTTCGCGGACTCGCATTCGCATTCTGGGAGCCGAGAGTAATACACTTCAAGGACAAGACACGCGTGTTTCGCTAATAAGAGAAGAGATTTGCGGTCGACAAAGTGAATTAAACGGATATTCGCAGCGACAAGGATCACCGCTAAGTAAGCACGAATTAACATTGCCGAGAGAACATGCCAAAGTTAACGTGAGACGTAAACGGAGCCAGGAGACACCGCCTTGATCGAATACCGATTCACTACTCGCTTATGTGTAGCGTTCCAATATTATTCCGGAAATTCATCTTCCTCTCGTCTGTGTTGAGGAATTCCTCCCATTCGTAATAAAATAAAACGAGGAAAAGTGTTTTGGTGATACCGAGGAAACTTGGTGGCAATCCTCCCTTCATTCATCTCGAATTTCGCGTATGAATAGAGCATCGCAAAATTGTGCCGCAAAATAGAAATTACCTCATCTTTTATGGATTGTTACGAGATTGCCACGAGATTAATTCTTTTCGCGAGAATATAGAAAACAGCTCTGTTAAATTCTCTGAAATTTAAATTAAAGAAAAAGAAAAAAACATCTTGGGTCCATTTCTTTATTGCATTTCTATCCACCGTGTGATAAACGCGCCGTTCATTATTTGAAACAAGTTTAACCAGACAAACTTTATCTCGCAATTGGCATATTTAATGATTAGGGTCGCGTCCATACTCGCGTAAACTGCGAACAATAAGGTCGCCACATTGGTTGCATATTTTTATTTTAATCCGATTAAGCAGTTGCGACCAACGACGATTTCTATCCGCTGTTTAATAATCGGTTTGCAGTTAACAGTCTGCCCATTGTGGCGTTAAAGCGGATTTCGTCATGCGGCTCTCGTTGATTATCGATAAGCATTGCTGGCGTTTCCGTTTAAACAGCAGAAGGTCGTCATCGTGGATGGTCGCGTATGCGCTTTTAAAAGCTCGTGACTCTGTCTCCACCCTCCTTCTCTCTCTTTCTCTCTCTCTCTCTCGCAATTTATTCCGCCCGTAAAATTCACGGCTCGTCGACAGTAACGAATCGGTGAGATATTTTTTCGGGTAAATGTATCGCGGTTCTTATATCACGAATATTACACGACGGATGTCATTGTCTTACACAAACATATTATGTACATGTTATAGGTGTGTGTATGTGTGACTTTACAATGCGTTTGTCACATTTTTTTGTCACATAGACTTTTTATCACTTCTTCTCTAACGGATATACGGTCTTTCTCATCCGTGCGCATGTTTTTAGCTATTATATTTATGATATAGATCGCAATATAGGTCAAATAGATATAACGCAGACCGAATATAAGCCTCTTCGGCCAAAGTCTCTCCGAGCACGAGCCCTGTTTCAGGGGCAATATCCATCACGGGGAAAGTAGCAAACTGCATAGTATGTTCGTTGAACGAAATAACCGACTGCAAGGCTACGACGACGACGACGACGACGACGACGATGACGGTCTCGACTGT